CGTCTCCTGTGGCCACCGCAGCACGTGACGCGGCTGATGATGTAGACCCATGGGTCGAGGATCTGGTTGATGCAGGCTAGGCGGAGAGCCCACAGGTCCAGGGCATCGTCCACTCCTCCAGAAACAGGCACCGGGTGGACATTCCACATCTGATTGATGATAATGCGAACCTGTAATAAAACATGGAGGCTTAGTGGGAGGAATGAGTTCACAAATATCTATCTGCGTTTGTAGTAAACTTGATTTAAATGCCTGGCGTCGCCCGGGAGTGGTAATGAAAAGGTTTCCATCTTCTATTTCTTCTTTACGGTCTGAGAAAAAGACGCTGCGAGAAGTTACTAGGGGATCTGTCAGACGCTCCACACTTAGAGGAAAGGTGAGACGGATATACAGTCAGACAGTTGCTGGTGCCATCGGAATTGGAACTCTTCGCTTGCTGCTGATGATGGGGACAGAGAGATTATGGGAGTGTCCCGAGTGCTGTAATGTTGATTCTTAAATTAACATTTAACATTCTACTTCTCCCTTTTCTCAACCACTGCCTTATGTTTATATAACTGCATCTAAGGCTCGTACCCCACCCACCCCCACCCACCCACCCCCCACCCACCCTTCCCGGGGCGTTCCATCTATTAGGGGGGGGGGGGTGGGGTACTGGTTTAACTAGTATGCTAGCGTGGCCCCCGGTGCTAAAAGAAAACGACAGTTACTGATTGATTGATTTTTGTTTTACCCCACCAGGACATCACACTAAGCGATAAACATCCCTTGACACAAAGTGCCACCATTCGGATGAAGATCACCCGTGGAGAGCTCCCAGAAACCCTGTTTAGCCCCTAGGCTGGGTTATATTAGAGCCCTCGGCAACAGCCAGGGTGGGGCTTCAAATTAACGAAAATTTCTTCCCACAGAGGGACAATAAGTCATCACACGAAAGTTGACTGGCTGACTGACGTTCTACCCCACTAGGACATCACACAAGCGATAAACACCCGATGACACATAGTGCCACCATGTGGAATGAGGATCGCCGTGGAGAGGTCCCAGAAACCGCGTTCAGACAATTGGCCATATTTATGGCCTGCCTATATTGCGGCCCCTGGCAAAAGTCAGGGTGGGGCTTCAAACAACAAAAAATTTAGTCCTAATAAGGACAAAAACGGATAATAGAATTAGAGTACACGAAAGTTACTGTCAAGACGACGTTAAGTTGAAAGGGAGATAACAGAGAAATATGGTGTTTTTAATTTCATTCTCTATCTATCTTCTATATATATATAAATCAATGTTTGTGTGTTTGTTTGCCCCCTATAGACTCGGAAACTACTGAACCGATTTAGCTGAAATTTTCAGGATATGTTTGTTTTGACACCAGATATTGAACCGCCATGGTTTGAAATTCAACCTGTCACTGTTAGAGATAGGTGACCACAATTTAAGCCATAATATTCGAAACTAATATTTATAATTTTAGTGATTTCTAATTATAGCCACGTTAGTAATTGCGCATGCGCCGTGCAGCCAACACCTCCTCTAATACATAGAGTAGGTCGTGGTACAGCAAACAAGACTATATCTATGTCTGTGCAGGCAGGGATTGCCACAATAACTATATTAGACACCATTTCTATTTTCTGTGTTTTTTTTTCAAACATCCTTTGATGAGTTGAAAAGTAGCCGATGGATTGGTAGGGAAAAAGAGGGGGGGGGGGGCATCAGGGACTATCACGACGTCTGCGCAGACATTGACTGCGACATTAACCGTGTTAGACACGTGCGATTTCTTTTGTTGTGCTGTTTCATTAATATGTTTGGAATATCTGTCTATGAGAAAACAATTGCATTCTGTTTTGGGTTGTGTTAAAATCGGGACACTGCAGTAGGGACACACATCTGAAATAGTTATGTTCTCTTTTCGTTTTTCCGATCGAGTGGTTGCTTGGTCGAATGGTTTTTTTTTTTTTTTTTTTTTTTTTTTACTTAGGGCCAAAATAAAATCCTCACCTGCACTGTCGTGGCGACAGCACTTGCCATATGGCCCTTAATGATATATATTTAAAAAAAAAAAAAACAAGGACAGGTTTGTGGGTAAACTAGTTGATAATTAAATTTGACCATTTCACATACTTATGATTTCATTTTAAACTTTTCGATTGCATGGTTACGCTGAAATTTCATAGCTTTCGATTTATTTTCATTTAGATTTAATTATTTAATCTGCGTTGGAATTTTAGGCTGTGCTGTTTACCATAGCGTTCATTTCCTAATTCTGGTGTATTTTTCCTGTTTTAATTGCTTTTCAATTGGTTTTTTTCCCCCTCTCAACTACTTCGATGAGGGAAAGAGTAGTCGGTGAATTTTGGGAAAGGGGGGGGGGGCAAACTGATTACTGAGAGAGCTTTAAGTCACAGTAACTGCTTTACCCACTTAAAGTAGCAGCAGCAGTAGTAGTTGTGGTTGGGCTGTTACACCGTAGTGCTCTCATGTGAAGACCGCCGGTAAGGTTATGGTGTTCTTCTGTCGAGAAGCGAAATTATACATCCTAACCTGACCAGTCTGTGGCGACAGCACTAGCAATGCGGAACCAAATCTTCTGGCTCACGAATCTCTGTCTACTCCGATGGTAACACAGATAGCAGTGACATTATTTTAGCTATTGTGGTGGTGGTCATGGTAGTAGTTGTACTGGTACTTGAAGGATGATGTGGTAAATATTACACTAGCCCCATTCACTACCTATTACAATTCCTGCTCCCCATTTTAGTTCGGATGGACAGGGATGTCAATGTCAGTTACAGCAACAACAAAATATCGCCAGGTAAGGATTTTCAAATTTTTCGAAGAGGGAGAGAGCAGTAGTCGGTGGAAGAGGGGAGGGGAGGGGTAATGACTGAAATTTAAGAGAACTTGAAGAGCTTTACACATGATTTTTAAGTTCTCATTACTTACTTAAATTGTTTATATTTTACTAACGCTACCTTCACTATTCTAATTTTTGTACGACTTACTTTGTTATTTACAAGTACAGTAGTAGCTTTACTTACGTCTCCTATAAAAATACAAAACAGCTTTAGCATGTGATAACCAACCAACCACTTTTGTTACTGTGCTAATAGCACCATTTAAACGACCACTAATATAAAGACACAATTATATGGTGCGTGCTCTAAAGTTGGAAAACCATACTATCTCTATATAATTGTGCAGAGAATGATTGCGACATTAGCTATATTAGACAGGTGCGATTTTCATTGTCTTTCTTTTCCAAAAACCTTTGATGAGGGAGAGGGTAGTAGGTGGATTTAGTTGTGGGGGGGGGGGGGGGTGGGGTGGGGATCAAAGACTATCTCTATATCTGAGCAGACAATGATTGTATTAGACACGTTCGATTTCTATTTTCTTTCATTTCCATTTAGCCAAACTATGCCACAGCAACGCGTGGCCGGGTACAGCTAGTTTAATATAAAATGCATGTCAGTTCTTGGCTATACACAGTATATTTATTCCGTTGGTGATCATCATAGATGGGGAACACTGTTGATGGATTCGTCGCCCTTGACAATTCCACACACAGTTGTCCATGCGAGAAGCAATAGCCAGCCAAATCCAAACCCATACCAGAGTGATTGCCCTTTCTCCCAATAGTTAATGTTTCAAGGGGCGTAAAAATATGTCGGTACTCAGGGGAAATAACTCAAATAAATGGTAATGGTGAGTGATTATGGCATTAGTTTTGCAGCAAGACATAGCAAACTTGTTAAGGGTGCACAATTGACCTAAAAATGGCAGCCAGAATGAGACGTGTAAATTTCACATAGTAAGTGTTCATCGTTTTAGAGAAGTTCTTGTGACAGACAGACAGACAGACAAAGAGAGGCGTGTATTTTCTGTTGTATAATATAGGTAAAGAAAACGGTTAGAAATTATCATCATTATGTTATGAATATATCCAGTTTCGTCCTTTTAAGGACGAAATTTTTTGTTATTTGAAGCCCTACTCTGGCTTTTGCCAGAAATACGGCCATACATATGGCCAAATGTCTGAACGCGGTTTCTGGGACCTCTCCACGGCGATCCTCATCCGCATGGTGGCACTTTGTGTCATCGGGTGTTTATCGCTTGTGTGATGTCCTAGTGGGGTAGAAAGTCAGTCAGTCAGTCAGTCATCATTATGTAGCAAATCTATTGTGAAATATCGCTCCTATCATAACTTGCTAAATTTTCTCGCTTAGTGAACCTAAATGCCTAGGGTGTCCTTGATATCTAGTGTCATCTGGTTATCTTAGTTTTAGCTTCATAGCAAACGGGTCAACCCATAGTTGCTCCGCTCCTGTAAAAACGAAAAACACACAGAATGTTTATCACAGTCCCTTGTGGAAAGATTGACAGACTGCTCTCTCAGAATATGCACTAGCACACACATAAAAAGCATACGGTAGCCCTCCGAAGTGCAAACAGTCCGAAATTAGAAATGCAGTTCATCATGGATGATAGCAGAAGTCACCAACAGATCAGCAGTTGCACACACGATCAATTTTAATCACATAAGGCCCCACAAATATTGCGACAACAGGAATCGCGCCATTTTCTGAATCTGCAATTCACACACACCACGTTGGTCACAGTAGAAAAAAAAACATACCAAATTAAATCAAGAGCTCACAGTGTGACGCCATGCACTCAGCTTAGAAGCTGGGCGACGGAACTATTCTTTCAGTCTACAAATGGAGCAAAAATGCACTGGCCAATGTTTTGCAGAAGCAAAAATAATGTGCCGCGGCTCCCAACAGTGACCGTGCCTAGCGTCCATTTTGACCGGAAGTAAGTGTCCACCATCTTGCTGGTCAACTCTTACTTCTTCCAGCAACCACACCTGCATTTATGTTCATTAGAATCCATTATAACCTTTAATAGGGCCTGTCGTATTTCTCCAAGTATAAGCCGCTTTTATGTACAAGACGCACCTTGATTTTAGGAACGGACATTTTCAAGAAAACAATCATTATAATATATTACCATTGTATAAGACGCACGCCATTTTTAGATTTGATATTGTTTTGAAAATAAGTACGTCTTATACATAGGAAGATACTGTTTTTCATTTTTCGAGAAACCATACTGTTCAGAGAGACGGTCCTTGACAATATTTAGATTGTGAAAAAGTAGATAT